CCCTCAGAATGTGACCAGGCCCCGCCCTCAGAATGTGACCAGGCCCCGCCCTCAGAACATGACCGAGCCCCGCCCTTAGAATGTGACCAGGCCCCGCCCTCAGAACATGACCGAGCCCCTCTGGCTTCAGGGAATCCAAACAATCAAATCAGTTTAAAAATGACGGACAGAACTTTGTTTATTTAACTAAATTATTTTATTTTCCATAAAAATGATGATTTCATCTTTTTTTTTTTTTTTTTTTTTTTTACAGAAAAGGTAAAAAAACCTCACCCATTCAAAACTTCAGCTGTTTGTCTGTTAGCAAAATATTTATTGAAACCCTCAGAAAGGAATCTGTAGATGAAAGTGTGATTCAAGATGGCGTCTTTATCCAACACAGTGTCTCTAACTCGGCGCTTTGATTGACTCTAAACTCGATGTTTGGGTGGTAGTAGCTGAGTTGCTCCTGAATAACACTCTGAGGGGGGTTGTGGGTCTGATTCCTGCTCTCTGTTGGTGCCGACAGGCGATGGACGAGTCCGAGGCCCGCTCGCTGCCCGGCGGTCTGACCTCCGTCAAGAGACAGTTCGAGAGCCACGAGTTTTCCTCGTCCCAGTCCAGCGTCAGCCGGGTCCAGGTCCAGAGGAGATCCGTCCAGGTGAGACGTTCATGTCTTCTGTCTGGTTCCTGCTCAGAACGTTCGTCAGATGATTCCTGCGTTTAAACATGAAACCACGATGGTCCAGACAAAAACCAGCTCAGACAAACATCACAGACCTGGTTAATGAAGGTCCTGATCAGAACCAGGTCTACTCTGAGCTCCCCCCAGAGGACCAAGCTCCCCCCTGCTCTGGACCTGACCTCCGACGAGCAGAAGAATGTGTTGACTGTTTGTCAGTGAATTCACAGGAAAGAATGGGTAGTTTTATGGCCCAACACCCTCCCTGACACAACCTGGGCTCAAACCTTCGGCCTCAGGATTACACGACTGCAGCACTGACCACTGAGCGCCCCCAGCTTCATGGAGGAACGCGTTGATTAAAGAATGCTAACATGGGCACTTGTGGCGAACCATGACTGTAGGAACTAGGCTCAGAGCCCTGTGCTGTGGCCCCGCCCACTCTACACCAGCATTCTGATTGGTTAATGTTCCTGTCAATCATTAAACAAACTCCTCCTGCAGTCTCTGATGAGCTCCGCCTTCTCTGCTGACACTGAAGTCCTGACCAATCAGGAAGAAGCTTCAGATGTTTCCCCCCGGAGACACAAATCTAAAAGAATCTGATTGGACGACTGGATTTTAATTAGTTATAAAAACTTTCTGACTCAACTGGGAAGTATTTTACAGAAAACAAGAGAAGTTAGCAAATAATTTTAAAAAATTGATACTACCTTATATATTTTATACCAAAGATTAAAATGCAATGTTCTGAATTTATGGGCCTTCTCTGAAGGCGTAGAAGGCCCTGAGGGTTCCCCACTGGTACCTTTGGTACATAAAAATATGACATTTAAAGACTTCATCCTGTTTTATCAATCTATTGATATTCAGTAATTGATCATTCTATTCTGTAACTGATCATTCTAAGCAGAAGAGAAAATCTAATTAATCCAGTAGTTTTCTTTACGTTCATGTGAACCCGTCTCATACGAGTGCCGTGGTGCGACGTGACAGTCTGCAGGGTGAGGAACTTCTCCACGAGTAATAAATTGTTTGGTGAGGACTGAAGATGAAAGGACATTTTTCCTCCTGCTCTTGAAGTCGGGGGCGGTGAGGAGACGGAGCGGTCCCTTCTTGTCACCGGCTCTGTTGAGCTGACACAGACGTGAGCGCTGCTGAATGATTTATTCTGCCGTTCGCTGGAACGAACCCCGGCTGAGGCCTTCAGCAGGTCAAAGAGGACGCCTTGGACTTGGCTCGTCTGCGTGCGTCAGGACATGACAGAATGCGCCAGCCGCATCCCGGGCCGGGAGCCGGATCTTTGCCTGGTCAGGTGGATTTCCCTCGTTTGCTCATTCAGGCGGATTCACAAGAACCTCGCCGACTGCTGAATTTTACATCGACGTCAAAGTCTGAGCAGACCGACTCGGGCTGTGCTCAGGTGCTCAGAGGTTATCGTGCTGACAGCGGTTTCAGACCAGCGGTTTCAGACCAGCGGAACTCCACCACCCTCCATGTTTCTTTCATGTTGACATCACAGCTTACACGCCGAATACAAGCCGAAACACCAGATTCTGCTCTCAGCTCCTTCAAGTTGCATGAACCTCTGAGGAGGGAATGCTCGCACGGTTTTATTTCTTGTAATTTACGACTTGTTCTCTGGAACACTGAAATCCTCCGTTGCAGGAGTCAGACGTGCAGCTCCCTGGGAAGCAGCGCCGTAATGGAGCAGCATTTGTTATCGGCCACCGGAGGGATTTTATTAAGCTCTTCCACAATATAAAAATGACTTAGCCTCCCACTGTTTCCTACAGCTCGCAGTCACGAGGTGATAAAACCCTGTTGTGTGGGTTTGTGTGAGCCGGGCTGGGGGGGGGGGGGGTGTTCATGTTTCTGCACCGTGGGAGGGATTCCACAAGTCCACCGTCTCATTTCTCTGTTTGACAGGAGGTGTCGAGCTCCTCGGAGGTGACAGTAAGAAGCAGCTCTAGAGACGTCGGCTCCACCACAACCCACTCCCGACAAGAGGTATTTGTCACTGATCCACAAAGTTCCTATTCCTGTCTGTCAGCAAAATATCTTATGAACCAGAGGACAGCTTTCATCAGGACTCTCAGACAGTAATCACCACAGAATCAGAATAAGCTTCATTATAAAGAAATACAGTGAGATTATGTTCGTACAGTTGTCCCAAAGACGGACAGAGTGCACGTTGCTGCTGCTGCAGGAGCGCGGCCTCTTATCCTTTTTCAGAATATTTTTTAGATAGAAAAGGGGAAAAATCCTTGAGGATGGATAGTGGTATTACAAAAAAAAATCTCTTCACACCTTGTCCTTATCAGGACACGATTTAAGACATCAGAAACTCTACCAGCAGCACATTTATAGACACATTACATATGCATTTGATGACAAGACGGTGAGATTTGTCCATGAAGCACTTCCAGATAGACCATAGTCCTGATGAGATGTTGGTGTCAGCCGGCACAGTTCTGATAAGCATTCATAGAAGCGCGAGGCCAAACGGGGGAGTCAGATTCAGATAAGCCACAATTGTTGATTTTTTTTCAGGCACACTGTTTTTTCTTGTCAGCCTTGAGTCTTACTGCTACTTTCGATCCAAAATGGCCAGATCAGTGGGCATTCCACTGGTCCATGCTATGAGGCTTCTTCAAGGTCGACTCCAACATCATGGCGAGTCCCAGAAGCAACAGGTTGCCTGCAATTCTCACAAATCGCTTCCATCTTATGATTTAGCTAATAAATCAGCTGATTTTGAGTCCTCAAAGCACAAACCAAACCTTCATACAGACTTGGCAGTTCATGGCAGAAACTGTTGCTGCCGTCTTTCTTAATAGCCGTTGACATAGGAATCCACCAGTGCCAGAAAGCAGAAACCCTGCTATCATGAATCCAATTGTATAAACATCTTCGGTGTCATCGTGAGACAAAACGAAAAGACACATCAACTTCCAAACTCCCCACAGATCCATGGCGTATCCTGCAGCGTGATTCTCAGTGGGACATGAGGGCTCTCCAGGACCCTGTTGCTTTCCTGAAAAGATTTTATCGATTGCATTGAAAGTCCAGCTGACCAGATCCATGACGGTAGTTTTAATTTCAGAAGATGTGTAAAATAGGAGCTCCGATACACAGACAGAGAGCAAAAAAGCAGGAGGAGAACAGGAGAGGGAGAGAAAAGGCATCCGCCTTGCACAAGAGCGAGTGCCGAAGATGTGCATCTACAACTGATTCACTTTTAGAGTAGATTTGATTTAAGCTCTTGTTTCCACGGCACGTTTTCTGCTGTGGTTCGGCTGTTCGTGTTCATGACAGCAGCCTCGTTCTCTGGAACCGAAGGCTCCTCAGAGTGGAGGCGCCTGCAGTCAGAAGTGTTTCTGCTCCAACAAGCTGCAGACAAACAGTAGTGTGTGTTTTTGTGCTGCTCACCCTTTTTCAGCACGTAGGAGCAAACCAACAACATCCTAGGTCCAAAGGAGCGTTTATTCTCGCCAACAAACATGAAAATCTCAGTTTTCGGAGGTCGTTCTTGTGTAAACGGGACTCCGTTACAGTCACTCAATTTTCCAGTTTTCCACCAGTGAAGCTCAAAGTTGGTGTGGTAGTAGCTGGGGGTTATTCCCACCACACATCCTGAAATTAGACAAACAGCTTTAATAACATCTTTGACCTGAAGGCAGCGCTGGCCTTAAATATTATTATTATTGAACGTTATGACATTAGTCTAATTGTTGTGCGTTAACTGTTCCCTGAATTAACGTGGGTCAGAGTCCGGTAACGACTTCCTGTCATCTTTTCACAGGTGATCCACGATCAGAGAGCCCACCAGAACAGTTACGGGAGCCATTCCAGTGAAACAGGTAGTTTCATGTTGTGATGCGCAGGTTTTATCGCTGCGCGGTTTGTGTCCTGGATGTTAATGACTGCTCCGGCTGCGGGGCTGAAGAAGGGATGAGCTCTGAAGGAGTTGGAGTGGAGATGATGTTCCATTCAGTGCAGAGCAGCAAATCTAATAAGGGCAAAGTCAGGAAGGAAACGTTGGAAAGTGGAAATTGGACAATCACAGCTGCTTGGTTTCAGAAAATGAAAACTACTCAGGTTTTTAATGAAATGATTTATTTCTGTTTCCCGTTCGCTGTGAGCCTCCTTGCTGCGAACGGCTTAACGAGGCGGCCTTCTTCTCGTGTCTAATTCAGTTACGCTCGTCGGAGGGGAGGACCTTCTCAACGTTTCCACTCAGGCTTTGAAGCAGCAGCACGAAAAAACCATCGAGGAAGCTGCACCGGCCAAAGAAATTAAGGTAACAATCCCGTCTGCTTATCTTAACGATGACGACTTGAGGTTTTTTTGTTTTATCGTGTGTCAGAATGACGAAAAGGGCAGAAAAACTGATGTCAGACGCTCAGTCAGTGTTCACTTCAAGCCAGTATTTATTCCTACGTACGTGTAGTCGTGACAGATTCAAGGTGTTTACGTCCAAATTAAAGTTTTGGAGCCAGTTTCCAAAAGAAGTTTGTAAACTGAAGTTTATGTTTTCCCCTATATTACCTTCATTTCCTGCTGTCTTTTCTACACTTTCTATGATTTTCTAACAGCTATCCTGTTCTACTCTTCCCTTTTCCTTACATTTTCCACGACTTGTTGCAAACCACAGGTCGATGTGGATCTCCTCCAGTTTCAGTGGGCTCCTGTCTACCAGCCTCCCAAAACGTCAGCTGTGACCAGCTACAGTGCATCCTCCGCTGTGAGGACGGTTGCTGCTTCATCAGTAGCTTCCTCCTCATCTGTGGCGTTTGACGCTGCAGAACATTTCCCTCCCCCACCCACAAACCTGCCACAGGTGACCTCTGAACACAGCACCTCCCTCCACTCGCAGGAGAAAGCTTCCCAACAGAAGTACGTGGTCAGTAAAGAGGAGTACTTCAAACACAAGAGCATGGCGGAGTTGAAGCGCCTCTACAAGCACATACACCCAGAAGTGCGCAAGAATCTTGAGGAGGACTTCATCAATCAGCTCACAGATGCAGAAAGAGCGGCCTTAGAAAGCAAGGAAACAGTGGGGGATGTCCAGCAAACACGCTACATGTTTGAAAATGACGGCAGCAGCTCCAGCGGATGCTCAAGTCCTGACAGAGAATACCTAGAGTGGGAGGAGATCCTCAAAGGTGAGGTGCAGTCAATGCGCTGGATGTTCGAAAACAAGCCCTTGGACGCGATCAAAGATGACTCTCCAGATGAGAGCGAGGGGAAGAATATCTCCCAGCAGGAAATCATTGCTGGCAAGGATGTCAGATTCACTGCTTGGATGTTTGAGACGCAGCCCATGGATGCTCTTGGGGGGGAAGCTGCAGAAACAACCGAGCAGTCTCAAAAACAGACTGATCTCGCAAGAGGAGATGTCCGCACTGCAACCTGGCTTTTTGAAACTCAGCCTCTGGACTGTCTGAACAAGTTCTATCAAGAAGACGAGCAGGAGACAGGATGTGTCGTCACCAGTCACATCACTGGCGGAGATGTGAAAACTGCTCGGTACCTCTTTGAGACGCAGCATCTAGATTCTCTGGGTAAAACAGAAACCATTGAGGAGAGTCACTTCCTGAACCTGAAGTCTGAGCTGGAAGAGATTAAGGGAGATGTGAAGATGACCACTCGTATGTTTGAGACACATCCGATGTGTGTTATTAGGGGGGATTCAGGAGAAATGCTTGAAATCACCACCATCCGCAGAGAGGAGACGGCGAAGGGCGACGTAAAGACGTCACGGTGGATGTTTGAAACCCAGCCTCTGGACATGATCAATAAAGATCCTGCAAAAGTGAAACTGATTTGTGGCATTTCCATGGAGGATAACACTCAAGGTGGTGTGAACAAAGGTAGATGGCTGTTTGAGACCAAAACACTCGACTCCATCAATGATGAGGAATGGGAGAGTTCCAGAAAACACAAAGAGGAAATAATTGGAGCCGATGTGAAGAAACACTGTCTTGTTTTCGAGACTCAGCCTATGGCTTTGCTGAAGGATGAAACCAATGCCCGACCTTTGCCCTCCGAGGAGATCGTAGGAGGTGATGTTCAATCAGCCAAACATCTATTTGAAACAGTACCCATGGAACATCTGAAAGAGCTGCTCGAAGTGGGAAAACTTAAGAAAACAGTAGCATTGGAAGAGGAAAAAGGGGATGTTAGACATCAGAAGTGGGTCTTTGAAAGCCAGCCTTTGGCGAGTATAAGAGATGAGAAGAAGGAGCTCACAAGAACGGTGAACATTGAAGCCTTTGATAAAGGAGATGTCACAAACTACAAAGAAAGGTTTGAAACCATGGATTTAAGTAAATGTGAAGGAACAAAGAAAATCCAAGTCGAAGGTGTCCAAAGTGGGTCTGTTAGGTCCAACAAAGTGCTTTTTGAGAACACCCCGATGTATGCCATGCAGGACAGCTCTGGCCATTACCACGAGGTGAGGACCGTGAGGCGGGAAGAGATAGTGAAAGGAGATGTACATAGCTGCCGGTGGATGTTTGAAACGCGGCCCATCGACGAGTTTGACGAAAGCATCAATAAGTTCCAGATCATTAAAGGTATTTCCAAACAGGAGGTTGAGTCCGGGGACGTCAAAACCGCCAAGTGGCTGTTTGAAACTCAACCACTTGACGCCATTAAGTTTTTCAGTAATTTTGAAGATGAAGAACATAAAACCAAGGAAGAGATTGAAATAGAGAAAGGAGATGTGAAAACCTGTAGGTGGCTATTTGAGACCCAGCCCATGGACGCTTTGTATGAAAAGGTGGAAAAGAGTGAGTCAGACATGGAGGAAGTGCAAAAAGGCGATGTGAAAACGTGCACCTGGCTTTTTGAGACCCAAATGCTTGATAACATACGTGATCATTCAGAGACGGAGACCATCCTGAAAACCTGTACCGTGAAGCAAGGGGACATTCAAGGCAAGGACGTGCAAATGGCTCGCTTCCTGTTCGAAACTGAGAACCTGGAGAACATCACGGGCGAGGACAGCGGTTCTTTTAGAAGAGTTACGGAGATTGACATCCACTCAGGTGACGTTTCTAGGATGAAGTACATCTTTGAGAACCGCTCCTCTGATATCATGAGCTCCACGTCAGAGGAAACAATGTCCAGGCTGAAGAAGCAGCAGGCCGAGGACATCCAGAGGGGAAATGTGGTCAACTGTACCTGGATGTTTGAGAACCAGCCAATCGATGCCATTAGCGAGGACAGTACAAAGACGAAGGAGGGTCGCACCGTGACTGATGTTCAGGGGGGCGACGTCAACAAGGGCCGCTTCATTTTTGAGACATACTCTCTGGATGAAATCAAAGAGGAGTCCACTGAGACGGATATTTCAAAACTCACAAGCATCTTTAGAGAAGACAAAGAAAAAGGAGATGTGAAAAATTACACCATGATGTTTGAAACTCAGCCGCTGTATGCCATCCGAGATAAGGAGGGCCATTATCACGAGGTAACCACAGTTACTAAAGAAGAAATCCTGAGAGGAGACGTGGTGGGGGCCCGGTGGTTGTTTGAGACAAAGCCTCTAGATTCAATCAGAGATTCAGAGGAGGTTTATGTTATTAAAGCTGTGACCGAGGAAGGCGTTAACAAAGGAGATGTTAGTTCTGCCAAGTGGAGGTTTGAAACACAACCTCTGGATGAAATAACCACAGACATAAAAGTAAGGTTAAGAACAGTCGCAGACATCCAAGGAGGTGACGTGAAGACCAACAAGCGTAGGTTTGAGGCCGATGAGATGTCTCAAAAGTACATCAGAACTGTGAGTGTGAGCGAAATTCAAAAAGGCGATGTCAGATCTGCCACGTGGATGTTTGAAACTCGCACCATTGATGAGATCCGCGGTGAAGGAGAGGAGTACGATGACATGGAGAGAGTGACTAAAGAAGAAGTGATGAAAGGGGACGTCAAGCAGTCAGTGTGGCTCTTTGAAAGGCACCCCCTGGACAGAATCAAAGAGTCTGACAGCACGCACACTGTCGTGACTAAAGAAGAAATCCCACAGGCCGACGTCAAAACCACAACATGGCTGTTTGAAACCACTCCGTTTCACGACTTCAACGAGAGCAGCTTGGAGAAGACAGAAATAATTGGGAAGAGTGTTAAAGAGACGCTCGAGGAACTCTACAGTCAGAAAATGGTGGATTCGCAGGGCATCCTGATCGAGGCGGATGAAATCGGTGACGTCCGCATGGCAAAGTTTAAACTCATGAACCAGCATGCTCCACAAATCCAAAAGGAGGAGATCATTAGAGGAGATCTGAGCAACATTATGATGAACCTCCTGAACCGTCGAGAGACCACCGAAAGAGTCATAACCATTGACAAGGAGGAGCGGGGTGACATCAACACCACTGTGAAGCAGCTTTTCAACCAGGAGAGAGGCATCAACCTGGAGAAAGAGGCAATTATCCGTGGAGACATTCAAGAGGCTATGAACAACCTACTGAAAAACGAAGGCTCCTCCAAGCGTGGGATTTTGATTCAAGAAGACGAGAAAGGAGATGTGAAGATGACAATCTATTCACTCTTGAACAAAGGGGAGAAGACCACCATGGAGAAAGAGGACATAATTCATGGGAACGTCAGCAAAACTCTTCAACGTCTTCTTTCTAACTCTGGAGAGGAGGACTCTAAAAAGATCAGGGTTGGAGAAATCGAAAGGGGCAACGTTAGTTTTTACTCAACCTGCATTGAGTCTGGAGCCTTGGAATACCTGAAGCAACTTCAGTCCGAGTCAGAAGAAGTCCAGGAGGAGGTGCAAAAGGAGCACATTATAGGCGGTGACATTGAAGAGACAAAAATGTTGCTTCGTAAGAACCAGCAGCAGATTGGTCGTACGGTAGCCGAGGACGACATTGTTCCTGGTGATGTCTACAGCTTTGTTAAAGTGTTCATGACTGAACCGGCTGTTACCTACAGGAACCTGGAGAAGGATATTGTTAAAGGGGACCTCAATGCAGCTCTGGACTCCTTGACCCAAGCCATCAATCAGAAAGTGGTAATAGAAAAAGAAGAGGTGGTGAAGGGAGACTTGTCAACGACCCTGAAGTCTCTCGAAGAAGCCAAGAATCAAGCGAAAGAAACGGAAAAGCCTGAAATCATCAGAGGTGATATTAGAAGTGCACTTGAGTCGCTGGAGAAATCTGCATCTGCAAAAACAGAAGCGAGTGTTGAAGATTTGGTGCCAGGTGACATTAAAGAGACCCTGAAAAGTCTGGAGGAGGCAAAGCAAGCTGTGAAGGAGGTGGAGAAAGAGGAGATTGTCAGGGGAGACATTTACACTGCCATGCAAAATTTACACGAGGCGTCGAACGAGAAAAAGATCTACCAGCACCAAGTGAGCGAGCAAGGGGACATTAAAGCCACCATTCAGCTTTTAATGGAGCCAAACAGCTCTCCACGAATGCAACGCAGAGGGAGTGTTGAAGGGGACGTGAAAACATCCATAAAATCTCTTTACGAAGGCCAGGAGACAACGCACGTGGAAAAAGAAGAGGTCGTCAAAGGTGACGTTCAAGGGGCCATAAAGTGCCTGATGCAGAGAAAACAGTACTCAAACAAGAAACGTACGCATCCTCCCAAGAAGGCAAAAGAGCCCATGAAAAATCCATCGACTGTAATGCAAGTGGAGCATGAAAGCTTACATGGATCTGAGAGTGAGAATGTAGCACTCACTGCAGCCCCCACTGTGAAAAACCTCTCGCAGAGCGGTGAGTCACAGAGGCACCATGAAAGCAAATCGCTGCAAATGCAGGTAATAACCCAAGAGGACCACTCTGTTGCTGTAGTCAAAACAGACGGTCCTGCTGGGGCCGCTCATCAGAAGAGCAGAAAGGAGCAGAAAGACAAAGTGCTGCCCCCACAGAAAACCAAAGCTCCCGAGCCCACCGTGACGAAGAGCACGATGAAGACTGTTAACAATCAAACAAGCTCAATGAAGACTGTTAACGATCAAACGAGCCTGACAAAGACCGTTAGCGATCAAACAAGCCTGACGAAGACTGTTAACGATCAAACAAGCTCGAAGAAGACCGTTAATGATCAAACAAGCCTGACGAAGACTGTTAACG